CCAACCACCGATACATACTCCGGGGAAAGAATGGGGGAGATCTTTTAGACTGGACTGAGTAGTAAGGCCTTGTAAACCCTGGCTCAACTTCATTATTTAAGGCAGTTCCCGTCCGTGGGATTTCTACTTCCTCGAACTGAAAAATAAAACTATCTTCCGAATCTAATTCTGGCATTGCATGGGGTTTCGGAAATAATCTATCCTAATTAGGGACCTAAGAGTCTCTGCGCTATGGTATCTATTATAAGGTATATGTAACTGTCTAGCTATTTTCCAACACGTCTGTTTAAATTTTAAAAATGTCAAGAGTAGCCTCTGTTTAATTTATCTAATAATGACTTAATTTTGGGTCCATTTTCTTAATTCTCGCAATGGAGCTTAATTTTAATGCAAACAAATATGTACTTCAGGGTAAGTAGCTCCCGGCAGACAACCATTTGTTTATGACTTAATCTTCACCGTAACAATAGGGGCACAAATAAAATCCATTTTTTTGTTAGTTTTATTTTATTACCATCATTTAGTTTCATTGGTTTTGGTTAGTGAATTAAAATAACCACAAGCAAATTTTAAATGAAATATACACAGCAAGAAATCCAATCTTACGTTCAAATTCTCATTAACAGAGTATGATACAAAAATTTCAATTAATAACTACTTAATCTCACCATTTAACTCTTTTAGAAAGGTCTAGGGTAACGAAATAGTTATCTTTCATAAGTGACATGAATTACCAGACTTCAGGAAACTAATGGCAAAGGCAAGACAAAAGACTTGGTTTAAAGTTTAAGTTTAAGCTAGGAGCTTTGTGTTGAAGACCCATACCGAGTCAGAGCTAGGAGCTGACTGACTCACTCAACTACTCCATAGTATGACTTCAGCTCGGCAAGAAGGTGACGCGTGGCGTCAATTCTAGAACCACCAATTGGTCACTACAGTAGTGGTTACACATTCGTAATACCTAACCTAATAATAATACAGTGGACCCCCGGTTAACGATATTTTTTCACTCCAGAAGTATGTTCAGGTGCCAGTACTGACCGAATTTGTTCCCATAAGAAATATTGTGAAGTAGATTAGTCCATTTCAGACCCCCAAACATACACATACAAACGCACTTACATAAATACACTTACATAATTGGTCGCATTCGGAGGTAATCGTTATGCGGGGGTCCACTGTATAATATAATACAATGAGAGTACTTTTGATGATTCGTACTGTACCCGATAATAATATATAGTCGAACCTGCTTTATCTAGCTAGTAATAAAGTGGTTCGCGATATATTATTACAGAACTTATTTTAACCAGGCCTTTTATTTTTGTATATAATGGAGTGAAGTAGGGGTGCGTAACAGGCACGGACCCTGACCTCAAGACCATAGTACTGTGGCATGGACCCTGACCTCAAGACCATAGTACTGTGGCACAGACCCTGACCTCAAGACCATAGTACTGTGGCACGGACCCTGACCTCAAGACCATAGTATTGTGGCACAGACCCTGACCTCAAGACCATAGTACTGTGGCACGGACCCTGACCTCAAGACCATAGTACTGTGGCATGGACCCTGACCTCAAGACCATAGTACTGTGGCACGGACCCAGACCTCAAGACCATAGTGCTACAGCACGGACCCTGACCTCAAGACCATAGTGCTATAGCATGGACCCTGACCTCAAGACCATAGTACTGTGGCATGGACCCTGACCTCAAGACCATAGTTCTGTGGCACGGACCCTGACCTCAAGACCATAGTACTGTGGCACGGACCCTGACCTCAAGACCATAGTACTACAACACGGACCCTGACCTCAAGACCATAGTACTGTGGCACGGACCCTGACCTCAAGACCATAGTACTGTGGCACGAACCCTGACCTCAAGACCAAAGTACTGTGGCACGGACCCTGTCCTCAAGATCATAGTACTGTGGCACAGACCCTGACTTCAAGACCATAGTACTGTGGCACAGACCCTGACCTCAAGACCTTAGTAATGTGGCATGGACCCTGACCTCAAGACCATAGTTTTTTTCTGTGGCTGGACCTGACCTCAAGGGCCATAGTACTACAGCATGGACCTGACCTTTATGACCATAGTACTACAGCACGGACCCTGACCTCAAGACCATAGTACTACAGCATGGACCCTGACCTCAAGACCATAGTATTGTTGCACGGACCCTGACCTCAAGACCATAGTACTGTGGCACGGACCCTGACCTCAAGACCATAGTACTACAGCATGGACCCTGACCTCATGACCATAGTACTACAGCACAGACCCTGACCTCAAGACCATAGTACATGTACTACAGCATGGACCCTGGCCTCAAGACCATAGTACTACAGCATGGATCCTGACCTCATGACCATAGTACTCTGGCATGGACCCTGACCTCAAGACCATAGTACTACAGCACAGACCTTGACCTCATGTCCATAGTACTACAGCACGGACCCTGACCTCATGACCATAGTACTCTGGCATGGACCCTGACCTCAAGACCATAGTACTCTGGCAGGGACCCTGACCTTAAAACCATAGTACTATGGCATGGACCCTGACCTCAAGACCCTAGTACTCTGGCATGAACCCCGACCTCAAAACCACAGTACTATGGCATTGCCCCTGACTTCAAAACCATAGTACTACAGCAGAGACCCTGACCTCAAAACCATAGTACTATGGCATGAACCCTGACCTCAAAACCACAGTACTGTGGCACGAACCCTGACCTTAAAACCGTAGTATTACGGCACAGACCCTGACCTTAAAACCATAGTACTATGGCATGAACCCTGACCTTAAAAACCTTAGTACCATGTCATGGATCCTGACCTTAAAACCATAGTACTATGGCATTAACCCTGACCTCAAAACTGTAGTACCTCAACACGGACCCTGACCTTAAAACCATAGTACTATGGCAGGAACCTTGACCATAAAACCATAGTACTCTAGCACCAACCCTGACCTTAAAACCATAGTACTATGGCAGGAACCTTGATCATAAAACCATAGTACTCTAGCACTGACCCTGACCTTAAAACCATAGTACTATGGCAGGAACCTTGACCATAAAACCATAGTACTCTAGCACTGACCCTGACCTTAAAACCATAGTACTATGGCAGGAACCTTGACCATAAAACCATTACTTTAGCACCAACCCTGACCTTAAACCATAGTATTATGGCAGGAACCTTGACCATAAAACCATAGTACTCTAGCAATGACCCTGACCTTAAAACCATAGTACTATGACATGGACTCTGTTTGGGTTAAAAAATGCATTAAATGTAATAAATCACACCAGTGAACTACATTATCGATTTTATTTTTTTATATAATTTGGAAACCTAAAAAAAAAGTTTGTTTGCCATTTTTGGGGTCCAAGGAACGTAACTTTATTTTCCCCATAAGTTCTACAGTTTGTTTTACACATTTTTGTCTTGCTTGCCAGACATACAAGACTTTTAAACTTGTATGATTACATTTTGGTCTGACTTGGACCGTAAACCAGCAGTCACACAGACTTGTTAATTGTGTATGGTTCTAGCTGCCGTTTTTTTTTTTTTTTTTTTTTTTACTTTTTATTAAACTTTTCGAGGTCAGTCCCATTGTACTACAGCTTTGAAGCCAGTGTCTGTCTCACAGTACAACGCCATGAGCTCAGCTCACTCAGATAAACTGTGAACAGTAAATTTGGGCCTTGATATGAGAGAATGGGGTCTGTGGTAAGTGAGCACCATTTATTTATTTATTATTTATTTATTAACAATTTGAGCACACATACAGAGGTACAAAAAAATACAGATAAGAGCAGCATGCCAAAGCCACTTATACTATGCATAGCATTACGCGCTGACATAACAAAAGTCCTGCAACAAGCAGTGTGTACTGGGAAAAAAAAAATGTTTTTTATTTAAAACAGCAATTTTTCAGTGTATTTTCATATGATTTTTATGGTGGTATTTGTAGTTTCTTGATCTCATTTGATAGACTGGAAGATACATTACAGAAGTAGAGATGATTTTAACTTGTTTTAGGACTAAAAATAGCTTGAAATTGAGCTCAAATTAGTGGAATGTTCGATTTTTGCCAATGTTCAAGAGAAAACAAATCACATCACGTGTCCATTTCATGTCAGCCGGTGAGTTTAATGTGTGTTCACGAATGCGCTGATATTATTTATATAATTATTACAATATTTCATAATAAATATTCTATTTTTGTGTGAATAAAAATTGTGTGAGAATAAAAAATCAAAATGAAATTCATGTCTAAAGCCTGAGAATGTAACTGGTGAACAGAGGAAATTATATTTTAGTGCCAGGAATGCCTATATTGTCTATTCTGGACCCTATTTTTAAATTGGAATATTTTAAAATTTGTGTGAAATTAATCAGATTACCAATTTCTGATAACTTTATTGGGTAGTTGAAATGGTTGATTGGGCATTTTCTTGTGCTCAATAGATAAAACGGAAGATAAATTAGTGAAATAGGTAGTTAAAAATTTCATCGACTGGAGCAATGTTTAATTGGCCTAAAATTGGACTCAAAGTGGGCAAAATTGCCAATACATAAATATCGCTGATGCGACAAAATTTGCAAAAGCGTAATTTCAGCAGTTCTTCATCAGATTTTGTAGTTTTTCCTTCAGCTTCAGAAAAAAGATTTCTACCATTTCATGAGAATTTTTTTTTTTTTTTTTTAATTTTGCATCCATGAGAGCAGTTTGAGAGGCTGGGTTGCGACCCCATTCTTGATAAGTAAACATGTCATTGTGAAAACAAACTACTATCTATGGCAGACTATTTTCCCAAATGATCTTGAAAATTGAGAATGATCAGTCATGACTACTATACTTTAAAGTTCATCAGTAGTAAAGTAGTGTTATGACCTTATTATAAGTTCAACAACAGTAGTAAGGTAACAATAACACCTTGTTTTAAGTTCAGCAACAATGGTAACATTAACACCTTATAGGTTCGACTACAGTGGGACAGTTGTTGTACAGACAGTGTTCAGAGGGCATCAAGAGGATCGGACTGGAGTTGGGCGGCAACGCTCCGTTCATTGTCTTCGCTTCAGCGGATATTCCCTCAGCGGTTGAAGGCCTCATGGTGGCCAAGTTTAGAAATGCCGGACAGGTAAGTCAATTGAAATTTGACACACCGTGCGTATTCAAAATACAGTGGACCCCCGGTTAACGAACTTTTTTCATTCCAGTAGTATGTTCAGGTGCCAGTACTGACCGAATTTTTTCCCATAAGGAATATTGTGAAGTAGATTAGTCCATTTCAGACCCCCAAACATACACGTACAAACGCACTTACATAAATACACTTACATAATTGGTCGCATTTGGAGGTGATCGTTAAGCGGGGGTCCACTGTATTGGTGTTAGGAGTGTTGTAGTGAGGCAGTTATTAACTGGGTGATGGTCATTGTGTTTTTTCTATGTCTTATATCAACCTTGTTGGTCAACACTGGTGGTGGTAACAAGACAGTTATTGGCTGAGTGATGGTCAGTATTTCTCCTTTGTCTGCTGGTAACAAGACAGTGTGTTTCTTCTGGGTGCCTATGCCTTGTTTCGTCGGACATTTGAAAGAGACTCAAACTAGGTTTCACTTACTAGTGATCACTAGTATAAGTACTAGTAGAATTATAAAATAATATTTAATTTTCTTTCAACATTCTGGCTGACTTCTGCCAAGACTGGTGACCACTGAGGCAGGTGACCACTGAGGCAGGTGACCACTGAGGCAGGTGACCACTGAGGCAGGTGACCACTGAGGCAGGTGACCACTGAGGCAGGTGACCACTGAGGCAGGTGACCACTGAGGCAGGTGACCACTGAGGCAGGTGACCACTGAGGCAGGTGACCACTGAGGCAGGTGACCACTGAGGCAGGTGACCACTGAGGCAGGTGACCACTGAGGCAGGTGACCACTGAGGCAGGTGACCACTGAGGCAGGTGACCACTGAGGCAGGCGACCACTGAGGCAGGCGACCACTGAGGCAGGCGACCACTGAGGCAGGCGACCACTGAGGCAGGCGACCACTGAGGCAGGTGACCACTGAGGCAGGTGACCACTGAGGCAGGCGACCACTGAGGCAGGCGACCACTGAGGCAGGCGACCACTGAGGCAGGCGACCACTGAGGCAGGCGACCACTGAGGCAGGCGACCACTGAGGCAGGCGACCACTGAGGCAGGCGACCACTGAGGCAGGCGACCACTGAGGCAGGCGACCACTGAGGCAGGCGACCACTGAGGCAGGCGACCACTGAGGCAGGCGACCACTGAGGCAGGCGACCACTGAGGCAGGCGACCACTGAGGCAGGCGACCACTGAGGCAGGCGACCACTGAGGCAGGCGACCACTGAGGCAGGCGACCACTGAGGCAGGCGACACTGAGGCAGGCGACCACTGAGGCAGGCGACCACTGAGGCAGGCGACCACTGAGGCAGGCGACCACTGAGGCAGGCGACCACTGAGGCAGGCGACCACTGAGGCAGGCGACCACTGAGGCAGGCGACCACTGAGGCAGGCGACCACTGAGGCAGGCGACCACTGAGGCAGGCGACCACTGAGGCAGGCGACCACTGAGGCAGGCGACCACTGAGGCAGGCGACCACTGAGGCAGGCGACCACTGAGGCAGGCGACCACTGAGGCAGGTGACTACTGAGGCAGGTGACTACTGAGGCAGGTGACTACTGAGGCAGGTGACTACTGAGGCAGGTGACCACTGAGGCAGGTGACCACTGAGGCAGGTGACCACTGAGGCAGGTGACCACTGAGGCAGGTGACCACTGAGGCAGGTGACCACTGAGGCAGGTGACTACTGAGGCAGGTGACCACTGAGGCAGGTGACCACTGAGGCAGGTGACCACTGAGGCAGGTGACCACTGAGGCAGGTGACTGTTGCAGGTGACTGAGGCAGGTCACTGACCCAGGTCACCAATGCAGGTCACCGAAGCAGGTCACCAAGGCAGGTCACTGATGCAAGTCACCGATGCAGGTCACCGATGCAGGGCACATAGGCAGGTCACTGATGCAGGTCACTGAGGCAGGTCAGTGACACAGGTCACTGATGCATGTGACTGAGGCAGGTGACTGAAACAGGTCATTGATGCAGGTCACTGAGGCAGTTCACTGATGCAGGTCACTGAGGCAGGTCACTGAGGCAGGTCACTGAGGCAGGTGACTGTTGCAGGTGACTGTTGCAGGTGACTGATGCAGGTCACTGATGCAGGTCACTGAGGCAGGTCACTGATGCAGGTGACAGTTGCAGGTGACCGTTGCAGGTCACTGATGCAGGTCACTGATGCAGGTCGCTGATGCAGGTGACTGAAGCAGGTGACTGAAGCAGGTCACTGATGCAGGAGACTGATGCAGGTCACTGAGGCAGGTCACTAAGGCAGGTAACGGAGGCAGGTGACTGAGGCAGGTGACTGATGCAGGTCACTGATGCAGGTCACATGCAGGTCACTGAGGTAGGTCAGTGGTGCAGGTGACTGAGGCAGGTCACTGATGCAGGTCACTGATGCAGGTCACTGATGCAGGTCACTGAGGCAGGTTACTGATGCAGGTCACTGGTGCAGGTGACTGATGCAGGTGACTGATGTAGGTGACTGATGTAGGTGACTGATGCAGGTCACTGAGGCAGGTCACTGAGGCAGGTCACTGAGGCAGGTCACTGAAGCAGGTCACTGAAGCAGGTCACTGAAGCAGGTCACTGAAGCAGGTCACTGAAGCAGGTGACTGATGCAGGTGACTGATGCAGGTGACTGAGGCAGGTGACTGATGCAGGTCACTGATGCAGATCACTGATGCAGGTCACTGATGCAGGTCACTGATGCAGGTCACTGATGCAGGTCACTGATGTAGGTGACTGATGCAGGTCACTGAGGCAGGTCACTGATGCAGGTCACTGATGCAGGTCACAGGCAGGTGACTGATGCAGGTCACAGATGCAGGTCACAGATGCAGGTCACTGAGGCAGGTCACTGAGGCAGGTCACTGAGGCAGGTCACTGATGCAGGTCACTGATACAGGTCACTGAGGCAGGTCACTGATGTAGGTCACTGATGCAGGTCACTGGTGCAGGTGACTGATGCAGGTCACAGATGCAGGTCACTGATACAGGTCACTGATACAGGTCACTGAGGCAGGTCACTGAGGCAGGTCACTGATGTAGGTCACTGTCTCAGTAGTAGTAACCAGTTACCAGTAACCAGTGTACCGTTGACTCAACGACCAACCGTCTCTGCCTGAGTCACTATCTGAACTCATATTGCGCTGACCTGGCATTATTCAAAGACCCTCTATGGGTACGTGGGCGGCCAGCCAGTCAGTCAGTGTTACGAGTGGGAGCAAGGAGGCAGGCCACGGCTGCAAGGGCGTTACACACATTATCTGTAATTATACGTACAACCAGCCTACGTGAGTATTTCTTACCTAATCCACGTGTCGAACTCCCACATGATAACTGAGGCAGGTGACATTCAGGTCGCTGAGGCAGGTCACTGAGGCAGTTGACTGAGGCAGGTCACTGATGCAGGTGACTGATGCAGCTCACTGATGCAGGTGACATGAGACAGGTGACTGATGCAGGTGACTGATGCAGGTGACTGATGCAGGTGACTGATGCAGGTGACTGATGCAGGTCACTGGTGCAGGTCACTGGTGCAGGTCACTGGTGCAGGTGACTGATGCAGGTAACTGATGCAGGTCACAGATGCAGGTCACAGATGCAGGTCACTGAGGCAGGTCACTGATGCAGGTCACTGATGCAGGTGACTGATGCAGGTCACAGATGCAGGTCACTGATGCAGGTCACTGAGGCAGGTCACTGATGTAGGTCACTGAGGCAGGTGACTGATTCAGGTCGCTGAGGCAGGCGACAGGCAGGTGACTGATGCAGGTCACTGAGGCAGGTGACCGAGGCAGGTGAGTGATGCAGGTCACTGAGGCAGGTGAGTGATGCAGGTCACTGAGGCAGGTGAGTGATACAGGTCACTGAGGCAGGTGAGTGATGCAGATCACTGAGGCAGGTGACTGATGCAGGTCACTGATGCAGGTCACTGAGACAGGTCAATGATGCAGGTGACTGATGCAGGTCACTGATGCAGGTCACTGATGCAGGTCACTGAGGCAGGTGACCGAGGCAGGTGAGTGATGCAGGTCACTGAGGCAGGTGACTGATGCAGGTCACTGAGGCAGGTCACTGATGCAGGTCACTGAGGCACGTGACTGATGCAGGTCACTGATGCAGGTCACTGAGGCAGGTGACCGAGGCAGGTGAGTGATGCTGGTCACTGAGGCAGGTGAGTGATGCAGATCACTGAGGAAGGTGACTGATGCAGGTCACTGATGCAGGTCACTGAGGCAGGTGACTGATGTAGGTCACTGAGGCAGGTGACTGATGCAGGTCACTGAGGCAAGTGACTGATGCAGGTCACTGAGGCAAGTGACTGATGCAGGTCACTGAGGCAGGTGACTGATGCAGGTGACTAATACACGTGACTGATGCAGGTGACTGATGTAGGTCACTGAGGAAGGTGACTGATGCAGGTCACTGAGGCAGGCCACTGAGGCAGGCCACTGATGCAGGTGACTGATGCATTTCATTTAGGCAGGTCACTGATGCATTTCACTTAGGCAGGTGACTGAGGCAGGTGACTGATGCAGGTCACTGAGGCAGGTGACTGATGCAGGTGACTGATGCAGGTCACTGAGGCAGGTGACTGATGCAGGTCACAGAGGCAGGTCACTGAGGCAGGTGACTGATGCATGTCACTGATGCAGGTGACTGAGGAAGGTGACTGATGCAGGTCACTGATGCAGGTCACTGAGGCAGGTGACTGATGCAGGTCACTGAGGCAGGTGACTGAGGCAGGTGACTGATGCAGGTCACTGAGGCAGGTGACTGATGTAGGTCACTGAGGCAAGTGACTGATGCAGGTCACTGATACAGGTCACTGAGGCAGGTGACTGATGCAGGTCACTGAGGCAGGTGACTGATGCAGGTCACTGATACAGGTCACTGAGGCAGGTGACTGATGCAGGTCACTGATGCAGGTCACTGAGGCAGGTCACTGAGGCAGGTCACTGAGGCAGGTCACTGAGGCAGGTCACTGATGC